ACAGGGTTTGGCCTACGCAGCTCTCAATCCTCCCGGGGCCCACCATGAGACAAGATCTTACCAGAAGAACTCATGATAACGCTTTCCTGATGGTCCAATTTGGTAACGAGACTGAACACCAGCCGTCACATCCGCTAGGCAGGCTCCACAACCGCGTTCGATCAAGTAGACGGAAGTCCAAGTCGCGTGTCCTGCAGGAAATCGCAGCCTTCGCAGGTTAAGCATTTTTTCCTTGTTTCCAAAATAGCCTCGGGTCCCCGCTTTCGTTCCACGAAGAAAGGGCGCGAGCCTTCATTTACTCCAATCATACCTTGCAGTTTCTCGACACACCATCGCTAAGCAAAATTAGCGTGAATGGACTTAAGGTGGATCAATATGTTTAGCTTTCTCATTGGATATACCATTATCTACTCCCCACCTAGACCACGAGTGTAAGACAAACGCTGATAAGGTCTCCTCCTCTGATAGGTAACTCGACATTCCAACACTACCTTACCAAGGGAAAGGCAGAGAGAGGTAGGTACTGCGTACTGCAGTGCCCTGTCGATGATAACAATCTCGGATAAATTGTACCTGATAATTATGATCATCTCTTAAACCCATGTGGAAGACATGTTATCTATCCCTGTTATCGCCGAGCATCTTACCCCGGAAGATTGACCTAGTCGTTATCATCCAGAGCACGGCTGACGCCGACCGTTCGGACCTTCTACTTGGCAATTCTCTGCGTTATCTATGCTGCTCAACACATACAATCCGCATGAGATTTCGTATCTGATGAGGATAGTAGCATAGGTAGTAACCGTATTCATTAACATGTGCGTCATTGCTCTCCAAGAATTGAAGCCTGTCATAGTGATAGGATCGTTTACCAATACTACAGGGTCTTGGCATATCACGGTTCCATCCATCTCGACCTGTATCATTCGTTCCCCAGATTCTACCCCGGCATTGAGGGGTTGCTGCAAGCTAAATTTTCTCGGAAACCTACGTCCTTTATTGCTAGGATAGCGGTGATCGCCGTCTTCCATTTATGCTTATTAGGGTATCTCTGATCTATCATCTGACGCAGGCGAAGTCTAAGCTACATATGCTTTGCTTCAGAAACGTGCATTAGCGCAAATTGCGATTAATCTCTGCGATGGCCTTCATTGGATATTGATGAAAGGACTGCCATATATCCTGGAGGTTCAAGGTCTCCGACCTTGTGACTGTCTTGAGATTGAGGCAGGAATGCACTCATCGTGATTAATTGACCTGGGTTGAAACCATCGCTTGTTACTGATCATAGCAGTCATCTTTCAGAGAACTCTTTGGCTATCATTCATAGTATTACAAGATGTCTCTCAACATTGGTTGGTTTCTAGAGGCTGAACCACAAGGACCTCCTGTTCACACTTTCACACAGAATTCACAGCTTCCAGATCTCACACAGCATAGACTTGTCCTCAAAATCCAATGAAAGGTTCAGGATGTCTGCCATATCGGCCTCGAGTCTCAGCCCTAATGCTCACAAAGTGCACCGGCCAGTTTTTAGCCACCGCAGTTCGATGGCGAATACCATTATCCCCCTTGGACAACCATATATCTACAGTCCGTATGCTCCTTGGAGGAACCATAGTATCGCAGGCGGGACTGACTATAGTCAGCGTGAGAAATGAGAACTCACTTGCACTCTGTGCCCTGTAGAATTTGCCGTCCCTCCAGTGACCAAACCTGCGGTCTGGAGGATAGATACACACATCCTAAGGCAGGTCTGCAAGAAAGTCTAGATACAGCATTCCAATACCAATGACCCATTGACTCAAGTTCAAGCACAAGCCAGTGCATCTGTCCAGTCATGATACAGCGATTTGACTATTCCACTGGTTACCTATTCCTAAAGTATTTGATACAGACGGTCTCCGCAGTCCCCACTCAAGACCCATAATTCCATACCTTAGGGCTCCTCATTCAATACTCAGCTTACACATCGGCAGGCAAAAGTGCAAACGCGCAAAGCCGAACCGAATGAAACCGATACCGAGTCGGAATTCGGGATGTATCAAATCAATGCACTTTTCCCGGCGTTTGCTTATGCAGTTGTGCTCCGTACCGATATCCACCATACTTCGTGGCATGTCTGGTTTCATAATCAGGGATGTTTGCAAGCGAGTGATGATATAGGTTAAACACATGCCCTCATATTCTGCTGGATGTTAATTCAACGATTGAGGTGTTGCTGTGGCCGATGACTGACTCGTAATTTCTGGCTGAGCATTTGGAACTTCTACTACGGTGGACCCATAGGTTTTCTAGATTTGGTATGCATACACGGTTCGCCTCTGCTGGAGGCGAGGATGGTGACAGTTAGTATTAGGGCTGAGTGCAGGTTACAAAGTACTACAGAGTGGAATCCTCGAGGGACATTGCCTCATACCATCTGCCCGCTACCTGGGCTAATGCTAGAATCTACGTTAACTCTTGTCTTCGATGGTTGTGTACTCTTTTTTTCATAGATCACAATACGCTCAGGTAATAGGCTTGAGAATAATCGCTCCAATTTTGGGTAGGCCAATAGAATCGATCACCACGCCCACGAATCTATGAGCTGGACGTCATCCATACACAAAAAGTCATGAGGTATAGTGTGCTATATACGAGAAAATAAAATGAATCTACAGCTTGGCAACCATCCTGTTACCCGTCTTCAGGAGAGCAGCAGCGTCCGAGACGATCTCATCGACGATAGCCTTGGCGGGCTTCTTCTCCGAAACCACAGCGGAAACCTTACCCATCAGCCATGGGCGAGCGTTGTCCAGGGTCTCATCATCAACATCGTCACCGAGGTTCTCGAAATCGTGCTCGACAGGGATGATTCCCTTGGATGTGAGCTCCTTCATCTCCTCTCGGCGGTTCTCCTCCCAGTTCTGAATGTATGCGTTTTTACGGACACGCATGGGACGACCCTGGTACATATCAGCTTGGCCATATCCAGACCTGCATTCTGCATGTGAACTTACAGTGAAGATGATGGTGCGAACGTTGTCCTCAAAACCGGCGGTGCGCACAGCCTCCTGGTGAGCAACAGGAGCACCGGCCTCGTCAGCGAGGATAAAGCGGGTACCAATCCAGACACCGGAGGCACCTAGCATCAGAGCAGCGGCGAGGGAGTTGCCATTGAACAGACCACCAGCAGCAACGACCTGCACGGGCTGGCCAGTCATAGGGCTCTTCTTGCCCTGGCACAGCTTGGCAACAGTAGGGATGAGGATGGTGGTAGGCACATCACCCGTGTGACCACCACCCTCACCACCCTGAGCGCAGATGATGTCGGCACCAGCGTCAAGGGCCTTCTGAACGTGCTTGGGGTGACCAATCATGTTCATGTAAAGGATACCGGCGGAGTGAAGTCTTTCCACGACGTGCTTGGGAGGAACGCCGACAGCGGATACAAAGAGCTTGGCGCCTTCCTGAATAATGATGTCGACCAGCTCGTTAAGCTTGCCCTTGGTGTAGTCGTAGCTAGAGAAACCTGTGTCAGCATCCTAGGTCCCAAATATGAACTTTTTATATGCAAAGGGAGGAGTTCTGACTTGGTCTTGCGAGCGCTTCCTCCAACCTGAGGAAGCAGAAGGTCAACACCGAAAGGTGCGTTCTTGTCGTGCAGGAAGCTCTTCAACTCTGCAATCTGTTCACGCAGCATTTCAGGTGTGTAGCCGACACCACCGATAACACCCAGGCCACCTGCATTGGTGACAGCGGCGGCCAACTTGGGACCAGCGGCCACGTTCATACCCGCCAGCAGGACGGGGTGATTGATCTTGAGCAGATCGGTGAGGGTAGTACGGATTTGCTCTATGGAAGACACAATGTGTTAGCAGGAAATTCTTTCAAAACCATAGCGACATAATTTTGTAACGTTCAAAAGGCTCGATCATGATGTGGGCTGATCTGAGGGCAGTGAAGCTTACGAGGAGAAGCCATGGTTGGAGCTGGGGATAGGGAGCTCGGATGCTGGAGGAAACAACGGTATACAAATTTAGGAATCAAGAATGATAGATAAGAGAAGATGATCTGGAGAAAGTGGAGGGTATCAACGGCGCAACTCTAATAATAATAAGGAGAAAATCTGGAGAAGAGCAAGGCTCGGGGAACCGAGGGAGAGGAGAAGCATAGCATGACCAGCACGAGCCTCGGCTGAACAGGACTCTCTCCTCTCTCTATGCCCGAGCATATGCGCGTTAATGCCGGAGCCAAGCCTGCCGCTGACTAAGTGGTGGGGTTGACACTGTGTGTACCACTCATACCTTATATTTCAGGCACTAAGTGCCTCAGGCAAATACTTGAGGCAAATACTCAGATTTTCACGTGACTTTCTGAAGCCGAGCAGTTGAGGCTTCGACTCTGTCTTCGTGACGTATGATTCTTCAGGTACTCGAGCATCGTAACGCAGCTGCATCTTGTGGTGTTTTGGCCAGACAGCATGAGATATTGCTCGGCTGTTAGCCGGCATTCCAATGCTGTATCACTAAGGTCCGCTGCTTGTAGCTCTTCTCTGCGGCAGTCTTCCGGCGTGCGCCTGTTGTTGTCCGGTTTGCCACAAACATCGAACGAATCCTCGGGAAAAGTTTGTATGCCAGACTGCATAAGATCTCATTACAGCCAGACGAAGAGGCAGGTCTTCTGTTTCCTCCGAGCGTTATATTATTATGCTGTACCAATATAGTCTAACCTCCTGGACCATAGATTTCTCTCTTCTTCCAGTTCAAGTATGTATCTGAGAGACATAAGTCCATGAACCGTCCGCGCTCACTCAGTATTGTGACTCGAGACCTTTGTGGCCTTCCGGTGTAGCTTTTGAGGCTAATATCCGTTTTCCAGGGTTGCCGACACCTAGCTATCTTCATAAGCGAATCTTGCCTAACTTGAAACCCGAGAACATCAAGAATGTGTCTTTACAACTGGGGTCTCAACACCCAAGATTCTCTACCGCTCATAGGAATGCATTTAATGCCGGCATGAATCTAGATAGTCCTCCTATGCACCGGGCCTACATTGCCCTCGGGAGCAATGTGGGTGAGCGGGTTGAAATGATTGAAAAAGCTTGCAAGGAGATGGAAAGGGCTCATATCAGGGTCAAGAGAACGAGCTCTCTCTTTGAGACTGCGCCAATGTATGTTCTTGATCAAGACCCTTTCATGAATGGTGTTTGTGAGGTCAGTTAATCCAAACATGCTTCGGGGCCATCTATTGACTGTCTTTCACAGGTGGAAACCAGCTTGGGGCCTCTCGAATTGTTAGACACATTACAATCAATCGAGCTGGCTCTAGGGCGAAAGAAACTTATTGATAAAGGCCCACGGTCCATTGATCTGGACATTCTCCTCTATGACCAAGAAATTTTTTGCCACGAGCGTCTCAACATCCCACACAAGTTGATGCTGGAACGGGATTTTGTCCTACGACCCCTCTGCCAGTGAGTATTGTGACGAATGAACGCAGCTCGCCTCAGCACCAGACTCATGGATAACGAATAGACTTATCCCTCATGAACAACCACCTATTCCCCGACGGAATAGGAGCTATCTATCCTACTTGAAGTCACTCCCGCCTCCAGAACCAGTGCCAGTGGCCACCACTCACATATCCCCGCATTTCCCTCCGCTGCGCTCTACAGACCCCAAACGTCCAACTCACCTCATGGCCATCCTCAACGTGACCCCTGATTCCTTCTCCGACGGCGGCAAGCATTTCTCGCAGGACCTCTCCGCTCTCACCGAGACCGTCCGCGGCCTCATCAAAGCCGGCGCAACGATCATCGACATCGGCGGCGAGAGTACCCGCCCGGGGTCGGTCCCAGTCGGCGAGGCCGAAGAGCTAGCCCGAGTCCTCCCGGTAATACGACACATCCGCACTTCCATCCCCGAAGCCAACAACATCGCCATCAGCATCGACACCTACCGCGCCAAAGTAGCCGAGGAGGCCTGCGCCGCCGGCGCAGACATCATCAACGACGTCTCCGCCGGCACCCTCGACCCGGAGATGCTCCCCACCATGGCCCGCACCGGCAAAGCCGTCATCCTGATGCACATGCGCGGCACCCCGTCCACAATGACCAAGCTAACAGACTACCCGAACGGCATCGTCCACGACGTCGGCGCCGAGCTCCGCGCGCGCGTCGCCGCCGCCGAAGCAGCTGGCATCCGCCGCTGGCGCATCATCCTCGACCCGGGCCTCGGCTTCGCCAAGAATATGCCCCATGATCTGGCCATCCTGCGCGATCTGCAGCAGTTCCGCACCGGTATCGAAGGGCTAGAGTACTTTCCCTGGTTGATGGGGCCGAGTCGAAAGAGATTCATTGGCCGGCTCACGGGCGTGGAGAAGGCGAGCGAGCGCACTTGGGGCACCGCGGCGACTGTCACCGCCAGTATTGCCGGGGGAGCGGATATCGTGCGCGTGCACGATGTCAGGGAGATGTGGCAGGTTGCCAAGGTGGCTGATGCTATATACCGCGTATAATATTGAGCAGTTTCGTGGGCAGTTTATGAGTGTTCAGCTGCCTTGTGAATATTTCAATAGACCGCTATTTCAGAATTGTACACTTTTGCTACTGGACGAGCAGGAAGTGACAGAGGGCCAAATTGGATTATGCTTGCTGTAATGATGCCAGGCCTTATCAGGTTTTAGTCTCTATTAGGCTTGAACATATCGAAATTCTATCTTACAAGTCGCCGCACCCAAGGCCGACAGATCTGGACCTCACCAAGATTATCTAATTCAATGAGGGGGCTGTTAGCATAGAGAACCCATCAGCATCACTAGGGTTATGACCAGAAGACAATAGTTTGAGAGCACGTATAGCTTCTCAGAACCCAGGTGCTTGCACCGTGGACGATCTTGACAGTCTAAGGTAGGATATATTGATGAGTGAATAGATACTATGCGGGAAGAACACTATTTGATTGAACAAAAAGGCTTGCTGGGAATGAAGTAGAAACAAGCATGGTGCGCAGCTTGCTTGCACTGACAAGAAAACATCGACAAATCGAATTACAGCATCTAGCTGTTGAGATAGCTGCGGATAGCTCCTGTTTGAGCCGTTAGTCAGAGGACAAGATCCTAAAAGCCGAGAGCCCAATCAAGGGCACTTACCCTGCAATTTGACAGCACCTTCACCTACAAGCTGTGTCAAGTTTTCGAGATCATCACCGGCCGTGATACCGAAGCGGCGAACGAAGTCCTTGGCTGCACTCTCAAGATCGCCGTAAGTGTCGTCACCCGCAGCGAAATCATCTTCCGGACGACCAAAGTAAGCGTTGCTCGAGATGGCGGTTGCCCCGTCAAACTGGCGGAGTCGCTCTTTAGCTTCGGCCTGCGCATTTGGGTCGAAGCGATCCCGTCCGAAGAACTCGTCCGACGAGATACCCTTCTGGGTACCGAACCTGGATCGAGTGCGCTCAAGTTCCTCCTCTGATGCTTGATTAGAATACAATAGGCCTGGTCCAGAGATCACGGAAATAGAACAAACCATCTTCAGCGCTCCTGACAGGAGCAACAGAACCGAATCCAAGCTTCTTGGGAGCAGCAGGCTTTGCGCCAACAGTCTGGCCGAATCCCAGTCTTCCAATACCCATTCCGAGGCGCTCCACGTCACTGGTGCTTCGTTCATGAGATTTGTTCGTGGACCCGAAGCCACCTGCTCTTGGGCTAATTGGAGTAGGAGAAGCGATAGCGGTGGCAGCAGTGGAAGTCTTGGCTTTGGCATCGGCCTCGGCTTGTTCTGCTTCGGGGTCGTATCCGAGTTTCTCAATGCGCTCTGCTTCCTCCTTGGCCTTTCGCTCTGCCTCGTCAAAATCGATAGCTTCCGCTCCGCCAATCTTCTTAGCACCAAGCTTAGGCGCTTTCTTAGCGCCTAGAACGCTGCCCTTCTTCGCGGTAGTTGTAGACGAAGCCTTCCGGACAGAAGCGCTTGCTCGAATAGCGGTCGGAGCAGGCGAAGTTGCTTCCTTGTCCGAGGCCGAAAGAGGCGATTTCGAGCGAGCACCATTGCCATTGGCACCGGCGTTCAGGAAGGGCGACGCAGTCCGGCTCACCACTGGGGGGGTACCTGTGCGCGAAGGTGGGTTGCTGGGTCGCTTAATAGAAGGCTTATCCCATGAAGAAAAGAAATCGTCGTCCGCGTCACCAGCAGGGGTACTCGATCCGTCCGAAGCAGTGCCAACGGGAATGTCTGTGATCACGACCTCCTCGGGGTATCTGAATGAGACCAAATCAGCGTTTCTGTGTCTGATAGAGTCGATAATCACTGAATGACGAACTGTTGAGCATCCTGCGCAGCCCGTCTTTTCAACTCCTCCTTGTACTTGACAGCAGCGTTGCAGGTGTATTTGACCTTGACGTCCTTGCTAGCTAAAGCCGCGGATCCTCCGTGCGATTGGAAATACTTAGTGGCTGATTCGTTTCCGCCGACCTTCATAATCCGAAGCTGCTCCCATTGCCATTCTGTATACAAGTAGTTAGTCCTCAAGACATGCGATAGAGGCGGTGGCAGCAGGGGTTCCATACGGTCGAGGTTCGTGGAACGAACAAAGGAGATATGGACACCAAGATTGCGGTGATGGGCTGAGCAGTCAAGACACAAGTAGATACCGAAAGGCACTGACGACCATGTCGGGTTCTTGGAGCCGCAGTCGAAGCATATCTATTGAGTGAAACACAGATTAGCACTGCAATAGGCGAGTTAAGGAGGGGCATTGCGCACCTTGTTTGCGGGCTTCAACTTGAGCTTCTCAAAAATCTTTTGAGACTGCGCTTTTGTAGCACTCATTGTGACTACAGTCCGAATCAAAACGTAGGAATGAAGCTGAGAGGAAACGTGCCTCGAGCGAGCTGCACGGAAAGTCCAGGTGTCTGAAGGAGAGGGAGAGATCCAAAATGCGGCGAACGTGGTCGGAGCGTCCCCTTTGACGATTTGCACAGTAACCCAGTAATTTTCGGTTTCTCGAACGATTTGCCACTTTGGGCCACGATGATGAGGTTTGGCGAGAGCTGCAACAAACAATGGGGTCTACACAAAATTGAACACATAGACCTAGAGGATGGATTGCCCAAGGTCATGCTGTCTACCAAGTACTCTTTAATTTTGTCGAAAATGAATTCAAGACCAAAGCAAAGGTCACAGTCAATTCAGGTACTCCAGCTCGTATTGCAATTACAGCGCAAAACCGTCCCTGAAAGTTTCGAAGAGATGTCGGAACAAGACTTCCCACGTGACCCATTGCATCCAGGGCCCGTCCCCACATGGCCGAGTTTCGATCATCGCGTGCAATGAATGCTTCGATGGATTTGACGGATTCGAGCAGATGATAATACAATTTCGGCCTTGACTTTGAACCGGGACCGTGGATTCTGATGAATAGTCACCCACTCCCCAATACACAGTCATGATGAATCCTCATCTCCTCCCAAGTACTTCAATTCCCAAGGCCTCGGCCGCCCTACTCTTGCGCCCAGCGTTTCCCCGCATGACGACTTTGACACGGTTCTACGCAACACATAGCGATCTCGGCGGAGGTTCTGGTCCCAAGGCGACCCCGAGACGGAGAAATGTCACAGTATTATCCGATGATGGGCGATATGAGTGGGGAGAATTGAGCGGAAGGGAAAAGGTTGCGCGGGCGACGCAGCAGTCGCTCAACTTTCTTGTCATAGTAGCCGGGGCGGTTTTGACGGTGAGATGATCTTCGGCCCTGAACTCCCGCTCATGGAGAGTCTCCGGTGGTGGCCTATCAGTCTGACAGCGGTTAGGGCGGAGTTTTCTACTTTCTCTACACAGAGGTCTTCTCGCCCAACAGCAGGACATGGCAATTCGAGAAGGCTGTCCAACGCATCAAGGACGATACGCGGTGTACGGATTTACTAGGCGATCGAAGAGAGATTAAGGCGTATGGAGAGAGTACCGGGAGCCGATGGGAGCGGAATAGACCTATTGCGTAAGAGTCGTCGTTGCGCTCTTTTGACCCCAGAAACTGATGATAACGGCTCAGGTCTTCAACCTTCAAGGATCGGCAGGGTCGCGAGCACATGAAGATGCATTTTCACGTACTTTTGTCTCACCTTCGATACTCTGGAGAAATGCTGACTCCTTATAGGTTGAAGGACCACGTAACTCCGGAATCGTGATTGTGCATATGATGAAACCCTTGGACAAAGATGAATGGGAGTATCTACTTCTCGCGTTGGATGTCAAAGGTTCGTCGTCCCGTTACGTTCCCAAGTCCTTCGCCTTACTGACTTTCTTCAAGGACATTCGCGTGTCGTCCTAGAGCAAGCCCAAGAAAAGCCCGGCGTTGCAAAGGCGCTGAAGATCTTTGGCATTCAGTGGCGATAGTTGCTCATGGAATTGTGCCTATGCAATTGTATCCTTCCGGTCAGCGTATGTCTGATCGACCAACGAATGTCCCCGCGAGCCCATATACGGGCGTACATGGGAGCCTAGACCAGCCGGAGCCGTCTTGAATGGACGTTACTAGCTATCCGCTAAGCTCGAGAGGTCTGTTCCTCTCGGCCGGCCAGGTTTCCTCTTAGACCAAAGTCGGTTTGAATCACGATCAGTGCTCACACTGAACACCAGCTTAAAGACCAAACATTTGGTTCATGTATAAAATTTGTATTATAGATATTTGACACATGGGAAGGGCAGTCTAGTTGTCTCTTTCCCTCGGGCATTCTAAAGCGCTCATTTGCGAGTCCACATATGCAAAACACTGATAATTTTGGAATAATGCATCAGAGCATATCATACTCGCATTCAAATAACGACACATTATCTCTCATAACACATAATCTATAACAATTTTCTTTTTCAGCAGCCTATATCCGAGGACCTTCCAAGATAGTCTTGGCAGCCTCTGTCCGCCACCAACTCTTGCCCTCCTCGCCGGGGAAAGCAAACGCATCCATGCTCTCGGGCTTCATCTCGACACTGTATCCAGGCTCCATGGGAGTGACATAGTATCCATCCTTGACGCTAGAAGGGTGCACAAAGTGCTCGTGCAGGTGGTCCACATACTCCAGCACGCTCTTCTTGCCGCTGACGACGACATAGTCGATGGTGCTCAGGTGCTGGGTGTACTCGGGCAGACCGACACCACCGGAGTGGGGGACGATGGGGACGCCGAACTTGCGGGCCAGCAGCAGGATGGCYAGGACCTCGTTGACACCGCCGACACGGCAGGCGTCGGCCTGGAGGACGGTCAGCGCTCCCGCCTGCAGGAGCTGCTTGAAGACAACGCGGTTCTGGCACATCTCGCCGGTGGCGACGCCGATGGTGCCGTGCGGGGTGTTCTCGAGGGCCTTCTTGATGGCGGCGTGGCCGAGAATGTCATCGGGAGAGGTGGGCTCTTCAATGAACCAGGGCTTGAACTCGGCAAGCTGGTGCATCCATTCGATTGCTTCGGGGACGGACCAGACCTGGAGACACGGAAGCGTTAGTTAAGTTGATCAAATCCAGAAAAGGA